TGAAGCCATCCATACAAGTTAAGTTAGTTTAAACGAGGAAATTACGTTTTTGGCCAAAACTCAGAAAAAGACGCACAAACATCATGAGGTCTAAGATAAAAGTGATAATTTCGGCATATGAGTTAGTTCGCTTTCGACTGTAATTTATCAAAGTTGCGACTGATGACAGCATGAGCAACTTTGGACGCATTTCAAAAGTTTGATGCTCTTTTTCTGAATAACCAATTATCTCAAATATACTGCATCCTAATAATCTGCCAACTATGTCCATAATACACTTTGTTACAACTTGGATTCGCATGGCCATCTGATTCTGCAGTTATGACATCTGTTTTCTGCAACACTGACCATTTTCAATTGAGAAAATTGAGGAAAATATTTTTCTTTAGCCATCAAGCTTTATATCATTCAAATTGTATTTGAATCTCCATTCTAATGATGTAAGTTTCATTTATATCTCTCAAAGTGAAGATCGTGGATGAACCTTTGCCGTTCAAGAATGGGGCCTCCAGCTCACATGTCATTATAGGTGCGAACTATGCATTTCCCCACGCTTCCCAATGGGCGAATTCAAACAAATGGGTCTTCTATATAAGGCCAATCCTCTCGCACCACCTACGAGATAATTTAAAATTTTACACACTTTCATAATCAAATTCCAAATGCATATGTCCAGATAGAGTATTTTAGAAGAAATCGAATGATGTACACAACTTTAAGAAGTTTTGTATAACAACGAACTTCTGGAGGAAAAAACGAAAAAAACGCAGATCTTTTTTTTTCGTTTTTTGACGAATAATTGCTGCGGTTACTGTACTGCTGTCTTCGATACTCAATTGCAGAATTCCATACATGCTCTATGACCAGAAATTTGCTTCAATACAGGTTCATATTTATTTCAATCCGGACGTTTGAGCGGAAAAATTTGACAAGGTTTAAAACTTGTAAGACTTTTTCTAGACGAATACGTAATGAACAAACACCAAAATTGGCGTAAGGATGTGCAATAAAGAGTAGAAAAGTTGTTTGGAAAATCATTAAAAATAGAGAGTGGAAATATCGTTTACATACTTGTGCTTTAGGTCTCCAGATCTACGGGAGGCCTTAAATCACGCGTTTGTTCAGATCACAAAGGGGGGCTTCGTAATTTCCTGGTTTTTCAAGTGGGTATTTGTTTTCGCAAGATTAAAACTGAGATCTCGTGAGGCTGATTTGTGCGCCCTAAGTTTTTTTTAGTATTCGCGTATGTGTAGCTAACTTCGCTTATTTCTCACTCTTTCCAAATCAAGAAAATTATCTTCTTTTTAAAATACGCATTATTTTATTTTTATAGGCGAAGAACGGTCTTTGCTGCAGTATTACTTTGAGACACACTGTATTGTACGACATATCTTTTTTTAATTAATCTTTGTGAACCCTTTTAAATGTTTTCGCACCTGCTCTACTAAACCGAATACTGTATTTCTCCTCCAATCAGGGTCTCCATTGAAATTTGCCTGGATCCATGTATTCCATACTAACTGCAAGTGTATCAAAAACACTTAAGGCTCTCTTCCTTGTCGAAAATTGCACCGGTTGGCTGTATCTGCACAAGCACGGA